GTCTATTTGCTTTACTGTGGCTCTGCTGCAGTTCAATAGCAGCTCTATCCGCCACTCTTCTCTGTTCGAAACCTGGGCTTTAAACAAATCCCCCCCAAAAAAAGGCAACTGATGCGAGTACTTCCCTGTAGTACTTGACTGTGTCACTTTATCACCATGTTTCTTGGTCTAAAATACATTTTCACCCAGTCCCTTTTCAATTACCGTTAATTACTGTTTGGACTCGAGCAGCAGTCTAGTGAAATACAGTGCAGTGAGTGAATGTTGTTTTTCTTTTTACTGTGTGAACTTTATTAGTAAATGAGCTGATATTTAAAGGGGTTCCTTAGGGGAAAAAAATCAAAAAGGTTAATTGGTATCAACCAAAAGACAGAATGTTTTTATGAAAGGGTAATTTGGAAAGACCCCAGATTTTTCTGATGAAATTACGCATTAAACATGTATCTTTTTTCCATTTGGCACAGCGTCGGTAAATGGTAGGGGACTCATTTATAAAAAGGTGAAGGTAAGGGTGTCGATGACAGAGCAGAAATTCAGGAGTACAGACTTTATCTCCCAGCAAAAACCTGTAAATAACAGTTTTATTACCCTTATCTCATCTTTATCAAATGTTTCTGTTCAGCAGAATATTTATACCACCAACCGTGTCTGTGAGATTAGAAATGGAATGGGTGTGTCTTCCAGAAGCAAACAGGATCTATAATACTTTGAAGTAGAAACACTGGTGTTAGTATGAAAAACTAATTGTGTAGTGTTATGTAACCAACATTTTTATTGGTCTTACATACACGATCCACATCTTAATGTGATTGACATCGCATAGAGAAATATGTACTTTGTAGCAATCAGCTTGACTTGAGAGATCTATTTCCTGTCATGTTAAGTCTCCCCAGACTTTAAGAATGCTCCACGAGGATGATTTATTTCCCTTCAGAATTCTCTGCTCTCTCACATCCCAAGCCTTATAGTGCTCTGGGAACATCATCACTCCTAGTCCACATGGCAGGGAGAGTACACATCGCCATGCTGCTAAGTCTACACTGACTGGGGTGCCCCATGTTTGCCCTTGGGGTAGAGCATGTGTTCATGGCTACCGAATCTCTGGGTCAGAAATGGCACACCTTGGTGTGATGGGATCTGCCCACTGCTGGTCGTGGCGGATATAGGTGTGAAATTCCCAATGCTGAGCTAGGCCACTCAACCCAGTAGCTCCAGAACCTAAAGGTTGACAGATCTGGGGTGGTAACGGATGTGTTGGACCATTGTGGTCTACCGCTACCGTTAAAACCGTGGTCTCTATTCTCAGTACACAAATACTTTGCAATCGCAAAAACTGCTCTTCGTGTTTATAAAACACTGTATTTTCCCTGCCGTAAAGTTGTAACATAATTGTTTTTATTGGACATTTCAGGTGTAAAGGAGTGAATGAGTCATGGAATAATGTCACCATACGTAGTCAGCGCCTACACTCGCTGCCCTTAATTGACAGTTACAGGAGAGTTAGTATCGGTGGCGACGGAAAGGTCTTTCATTGGGGCTCTGGGTGTGTCACCAACGTAACCTGAAGTATCCCTGCTGCTGCACATCTTCTCAGCAATTGTGGCAAAAAGTTGCTGCAAATATCACTTTACAACTTGAATAAAAAAGCAGCGCTGTTTTCATACTGTAAAAGCACTGATACCACTCTGGGTAAATACTGTATAAAGGAGCAACTTAAGGCTTGATTTTTGGTAGCAGCTTGTGTCAAGTCTTGTTTTGAAATTGACCTGTTGAAACACAGTGTGACTGTGTGCTCCAGTATGCAGCAGCCGCTGCGGCACACAGCCAGGCCACGACATTTGACCCGACTGTCTTCCTGCTGTGGCTATTCTTGTTCATCCTTTTTTCTTTGAAGTAAAAAACAAAAAAACAAAAAACATACTAAATACTGTCTCTCTGTAAGAAAAGAAAGACTACTGTGCGGAGTGTTCTTCTTACCCAACTTTTCCCATGGTTATATTTAGCTTCAGGAAAATACATATATATATATAATATGATCTGCACAGTAGGTTCATACAGTCTTTTTTTAACATTTTTAATTGGCTTTTCTTTTTTTTTTTGAGCCAGGTGTCAATTCCGGAGGCAAGCCAGAAAAACTTCTGGAAAACTTCTAAAACATTTATTGGGGTTGACATTAGTGAGTCAGTTTCTGCTTAAGAATAAAAGGGATGTGCTTTAAACACCTCAGAGGGTGAATGGTTTAAGGGTAAAGAAATTAAGTTGTGCTGTGATGCCTTGAATGAACCAGAAGTATGTGTTTAAACTAGCATAATAGAAGCCATTGAAGTCTAGATATGTATGTATATGCCCACGGGCTAGGCTTAAACATTCTCCATATTCATTCTGCAAGTTGCTCTTTGTCCTCTCTGCCTTGGCCTGGATTTCCTCTCAGTTCATTTGGTGCCACCTTGTTCACTGGTATGTGCATCATTTTAAATAATGCAAAATATGATTTTCTTCCCCAAAATTTGTTGAACATCGATATCTACACAGCTTTGTATACTGTCTTTTACTCTCTGCTCCTTCCCAGACACGTGTCATGTCTGGCACTTAGATAAAAAGGTCAAGGTGACAGACTTTGGCTTTACTTTGACCTCTTACTGTGAACCTCTTGTGAGAGCGGACGATGAATACGGCGATTCTTATGTTAAAGGAGTTAAACATGAAGTCACGGTTGATGCTTTACCATAGAGTTATTGATTAGCAGTACTGAGCAACTTACAGTACCTGGTGGTTCCTCGAGACTGGTTGCCACTATATCTACTCACATAGTTTATAGTGTTTTGTTTAACCATAGTGCAGTGACTTTTATATTGTTGGCATTTAATCCTTTAAATCATTAAACTTGTCATTTACATTTTGAGGACATTTGGCATTTTCTGAGCCCTTTGTGGGAAGCGGATTTGTACGCCCAAGGTCATGTGGTATCCACATTATTCTGTCTACATTTGTTTGGAATGGAGTCTGTTTACAGTGACAGGATCCAACAGGAATAATGAACATCTGCTACTTCAAATCCATCCAATGAGCTGATGCATAATGAACGCGCTGCACTAAATTTTATGGCTTATTATAACACAAATGTGAGAGCAATTGATTTTTGAAACTAATAAGTCATATATACAGACGACTCATTTGTGCACTCACTCATTATGCACAGATATTTGTCTCATCAGAAGCAGCAGAGGGGAGGGGGTAGTGAGATGTTTGAGTCCAACTGTTTCATCACTGTGAGTGCAGCACAGCTCATCTCAGCCCCTAGTGGTTGGACAAAATACTGCTTCTCTTTTAGGAAATGTACTTTTATCTTTTATCCTAGTTTCTGATACTAACTTACCATTCTAATTTTAAACAGCAATGTATAACTGACCAATTGCTACTTTTTTCCATTGTCTAATTTTATGGCAGTTTTGTGCTATTTTTATTTATAAAAACAATCTCCAGATATTTATCTAGTCTCTTCTCTCACTAAAGTGAATCACCACAGAGGTTTTTTCAAAGTTTTCAGTTTTGCAGGATTAGTGTTTATTGTTTCCACCAGCCCTTCACAGTGGTCTTAAACTTGAACCCCAGGTCTGGTCTTCTTCTACTAACACTGAAGGCTGCCTATATAACCTTTGATTGCCCTTTTGTGGACTTGTGTAAATTTGACACAAACTTGCCACAGAGAGAGTCTGTTCAGGTGTTAATGCCACAGTTTCCTGCCCACCCCCTCAGGTTCTGATAAGACCTACTTCAGCGGTACATAATTTTAGGCAAATATTAAATTATTACACAGTTATTATTTTCAACTTTTTTCAATTTCTTGAAGTCACTGTAGTGGCTCGTTCTGCTTCTAATTTTCAGCCAAAAACGTACTGTACACACACTGTGTTAGTCTGAAGTTCAATAAACCTTCTTCCTTGCTGAAAGTATCTTCGTTACTACTCATCTGAGACCGACTCAGACTTTCAGACTTGGTATAACTCAGATTGTGTGCAGTAGCTGGAGGGGCAGGGTGCGCAGCTTTGCCTTGGTTTGAGCGCACACAGCCCTACATAATTACAGACAGTAAACAGCTAGAACTTTTAGGCCTGGATTCCCTGTGTGATGAGTAGAGAGTTAACTTTGGTTTTAAAAAAAAGAAAGAAAGAAAGAAAAGGCTGCCGGAATGAGAGGGAGGGTTAGGCTTACTGGGGATGGACAAAGAGTGTCATCCTTACTCTGGCATTTGATGATGGAAGTAGTTAGCAGAGAGTTGATGAGACTTAGAGACAGGTTTATAAAAACACTGACATGCAGAGGCAGACACTGACCCCACCCCAAAAAAACCGACACACACACACACACACACATAGCCATAGAGACTTAGACACACGCACACATTCTTTTGATGTGACCTTCTTACATCAAGTCTTAATAACTACTTTGAGAAACCTCTATTTAAAATCATCTCTTGATACCTTTTTTTAACTTTTCCCTAAATCTGTCATATTGATATTTTTCAGAGTTTACTTTTTTATTTATGTCTTTTAAGTGACTCCCCGTTGGCCTACCCTCCTCACACCACCTACACACATGTAAAGTGTGCGATCTCCTTCAGTTGTTCAATGTTAGCCTCAAGCAAATGAGGTGTATTTAACATTGACACTAAAAACAAACAGCATTTAATGAATTCAAACCACATCCTATGTGGCGGCTCTGTGACTCTCCATCTCTATCGTTATGTCTCTGACCCTCTCTCTCTCTCTCTCCCTCCCTCTCTCTCCCTCTGTGCACTGCACAAGGCTGGCAGGCTGCACGATGGGAGGTTTTCTTTGGCGGTCTGCTCCCCCTTTCTTGGTCGGGACAGGCCCTAGAGCGTGCTACTGGCTGGGAAGGAGGAAGGGTGGGGGTGGGAGGAAAGCTCGGGAGGAGGGAGACTGAAGGGGTGGAGGCGTGGTTTTGCAGCTGGTAATGAAGTCCTCTCTTTTCATCCTCAGAAGGCAGAGTGTGACAGAACGAGCCCAGGATCTGCGTGGCTTCGCTGCTTTATTTGCCTGTAAAGTGTGCCGAGTTCTGCTCCATGCTCTGCTTCCTGTGTGACTCAGAGCCCGCCTCCTACAGCTGAGAGATTCAAAGAGATTAGGACTTGAGAGGCTGCTACAATTATGAAGCATTCTCTGCTAGTGACTCCACAGCACTGTTCTTGAGGTAAAACTTTAAATTGTCTCCCTCGCATGTGTGCTGCTGGTGTGACTGCCTGACTTTCTCTACTGTCTCTCTGTCTCTGCTGGTTATTGTGGTTGTGGTTATGAGTGTGAAGGGGTTGTCAGGTCTAGGGCCCTCCCACTTTCAGTGTGTGTGTGTGTGTGTTTGTGTGTGTGCACATGTATAAGCATGCATAGGCAGATATTACTATAGACAATAAAGGATGCCGAAAGAGCTTCATTTTAAGGGAGTGTGAGTGGGATCCAGTCAACCAAGAATTGATCCAGTGTGGAAACAGAGTTCTTAACATAAAACTATTTGAGAAGATGGATATTCTCTGTGCAGCAGGAGTACCCACAATCCACTCGGATTCGCAAAACCGTTTGAGATTATTGAACACCAATTGTTGTACTGCTACGATAGCCTTATACACATTTAATAAGCTTTTTCTAAAAATGTAATTACATTGTCATTGTCAGGAAAAAGTCAGAACTTTGACAAAAAGTAACATTATGAGTTCTCCTGTTAGCATTGCCTTCAGTGTGATTGAATCAGTGCAGACTAAGACTGCATTCAGCCAAAGGGTTAGGTGAATATATAATACATATGTTGGTGGAGTGTTGTGTAATACATGGTCATGTAGTGATGTCACCCTCTTATACTGTAATGTCTGTTTTATTCGGGACATATCACACTATGATTAACCACAAGTTCCTGTGCCCATTAGAGGAGTAAGTGTGGAGCCAGCTTGTCCACTGACCATGATCCTGTGGACCAGTTCAACATGTTGGATTTACACCATTATTGCTTACTTTGGTTCAGCATATCAGAAACTCTTTGCCAGTGTTTGTTTCCATTGCAACCAGTGGGATGCTCTGTTCTGGCCTTTGGGTGCAAAGTGATTGCTAGTGTTGTGTGGGCATGTGTTAAGTTGTCAGTTTGCTCTGTTGATAGTTTGATTGATGTAGCAGGCACATAGGCCTAGCAACTGTTAGCAAAGGGACAGGAACCATTCAGTGATGCACTGCAGCCTAGTGACACCAGGCTCTGAAGTGATTTCATATCATCTTTCCTCCTTCCCGCCGTGCAATTTAGATCTGGACTATAAGTCACTCACTTTCATCCACACTCCCTTGGAAATCCATTTGTCTGTATAGTTTCACTCGTCTCCTTCCTGTTGCCTTTTACTTTCTAAGGTTCTTGCATTCTGGTCTGAGGCCTTTGGTCCCATCGATGTTCCTGCACACTGTGTTTTCATCACATTTTTGTGGTTATACTAACACATCTCCATTCTGTCACGCTTCTAGTGAGTGGGTCTGTTCGATCCTTCCTGTTAAAAAATAGTTTCCATTAGTTTCTACTGGGCCCTGAGAATTTTGGTTTCCCAAGTGAATGGTGTACAGGAGCTGGACTTGATTGAAAAAACACAAGCGTAGTTTGCCATGAAGGAGAGACAGTTCTTGTGTCACCATTGAACTGTGCGAATGTACTTTCCAGAACTGGTGAGGAGGAGAAAAAGACTGAGGAAAATATTGTAAGAAAAAAAACAGAAGCATAACCTGGGGGAATCAAAATGTAGCCATTCAAAATAACTCTCTGAGAACTGTGGAATTATTGAGAAGTAAATGACAACAAATAAGCTCTGAAGTAATCGGAGGATTTGTGGAAAGGGAAGATAGCGGTGCTTTATGGAAACGGCAAGATTTGTCTAGTCTGTCAATTAGGCTAATATGTATAAATGGGTATGAGTGGTATATACCGCCAGAGCAATGTGATCATGTGACAGTTTAATGGCCATTAAGCCCAAAAGTGCAACAGTAGAAGCCACAGTAAAACCTGCTTTATTACAGTGTGGATAGTTTCCACAGCGGGGAGTTATCATATAACATTAAACTCCTATGGTGTTGTCTGCTGTCAGCTGTGAGAGCATTTGCATCGTAACAAGACCACCAGCAAGCGCACATTAAAAGATCCTCTCTGTTGTGGAAATTCCCATGTGAGCAATCCTTTCCATATTCTATTTGTATTTGCCTTGTTATGTTTTATTGTGTCTGCTGCCTCCCCTCATCTGTCTCACTTCACCCCATGCAGTCTCTGCCCCACCCTCTCTGCTGTCTTTGTGTGTCATGTTTGTGTAGCAACTCCATATGGTGTAGATTGAGACCCTGTCATTGCCTCGGATGGTACATTTGTCGCACACATGTTTGCCAGCAGCTGCTGTTGTTAGGGCTTCTCGGGGCAACAGAAGTAAGCATCGTCTGTTGACCTCACTGGACGGCTCATTTGTTTGTTGGGCCACTGTGACCTCTGACACGGCTACCACCTTCAGCCTCTCACATTGCCTGGTAATGTGACTCCAGCTTTACTGCCACATAGAACTCTCCCTCGTCGGCCACTAACTTAGTTGCGAGTGAGTAAGTCAGCAGGGAGAAATATGAGAATACCGACACATGCAACAGTAGTTCTTAGTGTAAACAACTCCTCTGAGCAAACATTCATTGGGATCCTGTGATGACAACGGCATCTCGGTGGGGTGACCTCACAGACTGGGCACAATGCACTGGATGAAAAGGAAAGATGAAACTGGAATGTGGGGGTTAAAACCCCACACAAAAATCATTCCTTTTTATCCCCTTTAAAGACATCAGTCTTCACCCTCAACCAGTTTTAAAGACAATAAAACTACTCAGCAAATCCTCACCAACGTCACTCTGCAGCAGTCATGCAGTTTGGTAGAAAAAAAAACAGGAATATGACATCACCTATGTTTACACATGATTACTAGTCACTCACGCTGCAAAATGAACAAATGTGTCCTTCTGTATTGTTTTGCAGTTCTGCGTACATTTCAAATGTTCGCATAGGAAATTGTATAAAGGATGTAATAAGGACTTTGATGTTAGTTTAATTGGTGTTTTGTGGGTACTGTCAAACGTACACTGCTTGGCATACAGTACTAACAATACCCATCATGCTTTGCATCTAGACGTCACTGTAGTCCCCGCGGGAGCAGAGAAATGCCTTTGTGATGTGGCCTGTGGGATTCCTGCAGATATGAAACCTGTGCTTTTGAAATCAGAGCAAAACATTGGCAAGATGCCCGTGCATAAATATATTAAATCTAGGTATGTCTTCATACGTTCAGATATTTAAGATGGAATCTAAATCATTATGTTTTCAGTACTTCATTGTCAGTCCTAGTTTTCTGCACTCATTTGTTGCAATACAACAAGCTGACCTCACTGAGCCATCATCTCTCTCTTGGTGACTCTGCTATCAGGCAATGGTCAAAAGAGGGACCAAATATCTGTCACGCAGCTCCCTAAGCCAATCAAGTACTTTGTTAGAAGTGTATTCCAACCATGTTTACTCAGATGTATCCCTGGCTGAAATGACTTTGAAGAGAGTGTAAAAAAGATGATGTATCACATTTTATCAGTAATGTCTTCCACCAGTCTCTCTTGGTGCTGTCTCCAGTCCGGAGTACTCCCACTGACCACCTACAGTTGTTGGCACACCCCTAGAACAGGTCCTGTAAACAGGATTTGATGGCTGACAACTGCAGATAAAGTACAATGCTGATTTAGACCATACGATCTTTGGAAGTGTGTTTGTCTCTTTTCCTTGTTTTATAAATACATTTGTCTACATCCTTCACATCAGTTTTATCTTCTGTCATGAAGCTGAATTGCATGTTTTCCCACAAGCACCTTTTTCTTTGAGGTTAGATGTAGAAATTCCCTGTGAGCCCTGACACAAGTCCACCTGTAGACTTGAAAGTCTTATTTAACTTGTATTTATTTTTTTGCATTCCTGACTCTTAGTGTGTCTGTGAAATGTTGGTGAAATCCTTGGTGTTTAGGGTGTGTGATAAACTGTCGGCTAAGATGTTGTTTATTTACTGGACGCTGCATGCAAAAGACAGGTGATAGTTGTTTTTTTGTGTGTTTCCGCCTTGCCTCTGTGCTCTGTCCTCTGCTTAAGTGCAGACTGAGACGCTGTGATTGCTTCTGACAGTGACAACAAGAACAGACTGCCTGAGATTTTCTAAAGCCCTCCTGATGAAGCTGAAGTAAAGCGAGCCAAGCCTAATATGATATTCCATTTCTGTTAGGTGTATTTGTTGCACATTTAAATTTGATGCATTTGATGTAACGTATTGGGAAGTGCAGCAGCATTATGTCAAAGTATCATGCTTGTTTTACTCTTCCTGGTACTTTGATACACACTGATGACCTTAAGACAGAGTGGATTTCAGCACAGATACAACCCCACATTTCTTGGCCAAGAGATAAATCCTTTAAGGATTGTTGTGTCTTTTTTTTTTTTTCCTCTTAACCTCTTCTACTACATATCTGTCCCTCTCCTCTCACTGCTGCGTTTTGCTGCAGATGTGGCATTGTTTAGACACATTTGTTTTGGGCCTGGGCCAGGAGACCTGCACAGGGTGTGATGTCATGCTCTATTTAAAGGGAGAAGCCATGTGAACCGGGTGAGAAGACGTGTGCTGCGGTCTAACTTCAAAGCCCGTGGCCGAGGACTACTGATGACTGTCATCCATGGCACAGCGATCTGTGTCATAGATAGATGACCACATTATTTTTAAGTGTTGACAGACATGTCCTTCTTCAGGTTCACGGAGGAGGCAACCGCGAAGCCACAGGGATTCACTGTGTAATTATTTGGTGCAGGGATTTCTACAACCTTTTCAGTTATCTTATCTAATATTTGAATTACATGTTAAATAGTGAAGCTTTTTGTTACTATAACACATTTGTCTTACTTTGTCATATAGGTCATGTTTCCCTAATTAGCCCTGTCAGTCAGTAGATCTGTTTGATGTGCTATTGAGGATTCACTCTATAATCTTTTTTTTTAATCTCACTATGTGTAATACGTATATAGGTATTCTCTACAAACGTAAATACAGAAGAGTTAGGTGGGGTTTCCTCCTACCAGGGATCGGGGGCCTTTTTTTCTCAATGACTGCGCTTATTGTGTCT